GTGTGTGTGTGTGTGTGTGTGTGTTACCTCATAGTCCTGTGCTGTAACCAGCACTCATGTTTATAGTGGAGTTTCTCCAGATATTCCAGTGGAATTCCCTGTTCCTCGTCTCTTCCTCTCAAATGCAATCGCTCCAAACACCTCTGAAACACAAAACCGCCTCATTTACTCTTTTTCACAGCACAGCAGAATCACTTTAAAGGCCCCATCTGGGTGTGCGCTCGTACTTCTGGTTTTGCCCGCAGGTAAATGATGCCGTCCAGCTCAATGTGCTTCCCAAACTGCTTATGCAGCCAGCTGTGCCAGTCCTGATAGATCGCCCACTCGGTTTCATTCACACACTCACTTTCATAGAGGTTAGAGGCAAAGATGTACCTGCAACACAACAATCAGAGTGATTAAAATAAGCCGATTAGTTGATATTTCTATTTATTTGACTTTGTGACATAATGACAGTTGCATAACAATCACAGACCTTTCATCAATGAAACGAGCTGTTTGATAACGGATATGAATACCAGGTGCAGTCTACCTGTCGCTGTACACGGATCGTTCGAAGAACTGCACCGGATTCTCGGCCTCTCGCAGCTTTCCGTTGGTGGATCTGATCTGCGAGCGGATGCGGCTCATGCAGGCGTAGCTCTGGAAGGTGTAGGCCCAGCGCTCGGGCTTCTCGTACATCATCTGCAGCACGTTTCCTCCACTCTTCTGAGAGGTGCTCAATTCCTGAATGAACACATTCACGTTATATTGGACAACATTTGTTAGGCATCTAATATTTGTGTCAAATTCCAGACAAACATTTGTTGGATAATTACATACATACACATGCATTTATATGAATATATACAAATATTGATAATTTCATTTCATTTTTTAAATTGTTTTACTTTTCTAATTTTGTTTTATTATATTCTAATTATTAATGATCTATATACATAAATCATATATATATATATATATGGCCCTGGAGCACAAAACCCGTCTTAAGTCGCTGGGGTATATTTGTAGCAATAGCCAACAATACATTGTATGGGTCAAAATTATAGATTTTTCTTTTATGCCAAAAATCATTAGGATATTAAGTAAAGATCATGTTCCATGAAGATATTTTGTAAAATGTCTACTGTAAATATATTAAAACTTAATTTTTTGATTAGTAATATGCATTGCTAAGAACTTCATTTGAACAACTTTAAAGGTGATTTTCTCAATATTTAGATTTTTTTGCACCCTCAGATTCCAGATTTTCAAATATTGTTGGAAAGCTTATTTATTCAGCTTTCAGATTATGTATAAATCTCAATTTTGAAAAATTGACACTTAAGACTGGTTTTGTGGTCCAGGGTCACACATATATTTATATATATATATGAGTGCTGTCAAACGATTAAAAGTTTTTGTTTGCATAATATATGTGTGTGCTCGGTGTATATTTATTATGTATATATAAATACACACACATATAGTATATATTTTGAAAATATTTACATGTATTTACATGTCT